AAGTTGAGGGAGATGAAATTTTCTTACCAACTTCCTTGGCTGCGTGAATTGTTGTAAAGGAGGAGAGGGAGGAAATGTGCTGTTATTTGAACAGTAGAATTTAGGGCACAAGTTCCAAAGAGTTTAAATGGGCCAAGAATTTGGGCCGTAAGAATTTCCTTAGTTGGACTTAAGTGGAATTGGACCTAAACATCCAAGATTTGGACTAATAAGTAATTGGACTTGAAATTATTAAAATTGGATCCAAATAAGTTAAATCGGAGTTGATACTAAAATAATTATTCAATATTTGGACTCGATTCGAAATAAGTTTAAATTTGTTTACAACGGCTAGACGAACGCGCTTATCTAAAAAAATTTGGGTTAAAGTTGAGCGACACGTTTTTCAAGAAAACTAATTTTATTTTATTTAAAAGTTCTCGGTCGCTACACTGTATGTCGGTGAGTCGAATGATCATTCATATAGGGATTGAATCTGGTCTGCTAATTTGTTTGTTTTGTTATAGGGATTGAATCTTTGGCTATGGACATGAATGAGAAGAAATTAACAGTAGTTGGGGATGTTGATCCAGTTGAAGTTGTGGGGAAATTGAGAAAATCATGTCACACAGAAATACTGACAGTTGGTCCAGCAAAAGAACCTGAAAAGGAAAAAGAGGATGAAAAAAAGGATGATGCCAAAAAAGATGGTGATAAAAAGGACGAGAAAGAACAAATTGAAGAACTTGTCAGGCTTTACAAGAATTACAATCCTCATTGTACACAGTACTACCAAGTTTACTGTTTCGAGGAGAATCCAAATGCTTGTGTTATTTTTTGATTAATTTTTACAAGATACATAGCATAAATTTTGGGTCTTTCTGGGAAATTTATCTGTAATATATAGGAATCTTTTAGTATGCCCTTGTATGACATCCATTTTGTTTGAAAAATAATTTTTGGAATAGTGATTAATGGAAGATCGTGTGGTTAAAAAGTAAGGGAAATTTTTAGATTTATGTGTAATATTATTTTATTAATAGAATGTGTGGTTAAAATGAAGAAAAAGAAATAGAATGAAAAAAAAATGGATGTCAAACACGGGTTATATTCTATGTTAAATAATTTATTCTTCAATAAATTTGTGTTCTTTCAATGAGCTATTTAGCCACCGCGATGTTAGCTCAATTATTTTCTTTGGATTATTAATTTTGATGTTAAGCATTAAGCGTACTATTATGTGAAAATGACTTACAGGTTGGTTTGGTAGAGTTTCTGAATCGTCAAAAGCTGTTTCTTGAACAAGTTTGAATAGTTTTTTGAAACTATATATTTTGTTTTGCTAGAAGAAATTTTAAAGGAACTAGATATAAGATAGCTTTCTGCGGAATATCGTTTACAAGGAATATAAAAAAATATAAAAGCCGTGTCAAATGAACTGTTAATTAATAGATGAATTGTGGAATTATTGGTTGTTCTTTGTATAAATTAAATTGTTATTGGTAATTTACTCTGGTTAATTTAGAACTCTAAGGTGTACGTAGCATTACTCATTGTAGTGTTGTTTTCTAGTTTCTACCAATAGAAGTGCCAAACATGAAAATTTATTGGGAAAAGCTAAACAGACAGGGTTTGGGGCCAGGATTTGGTGACCATGTGGCGCCACATGGTCACCAAACCCCGGCCCCAAACCCTGTCCCCCCTAGCAAAGTCCAAATTTATTTACTTCAAAACAAATTGTTGAATACCGTTCCTCCACTAATACTGACACGTCACTAAGTTTGACTTTCAATCCTACTCGACAGATTGGTTTGATAGTCATTTTAGCACTGAAGAATTAATCGGTTCAGAATCTTTTAATCTTTCGATTCTTGAAAAGTCATAATACTGAAAACTATTGGTTTATTATTAGTTAGCCAGTCCCTAATTAAGCTCCTCTTTTACATCATTTACTTTAATTTAGTCCTTATTTAGTGGGATTTAAAATCAAATTTTTAGTAGATTTTAATAAAAGTTGATGAAATATGTCATTAAAAAATTGTGGAACCCATGAAATGTGTAATTAAAATTAATTGTTGACTTTGGTTTAAACTAAAATCTTGATTTTAATTTTCACCAAACAGGGGCTTAATTTATTTCTCATACTCGTTCTCAACTATACATTCACACAATAAAATATTTTACACGTAAATAAAAAAAAAATTCCCTACTTTTTACCATACATTCTCCAAAAATACAATTCAAAATAATGTTTTTTAAATTTTAGAGATGTCAAACTGGGGCTAAATTTAATCACATAACTATCTAGCTAACTATTTTATTTATTTATTTATTTTTTTGGGTGGGGTTAAATGGATGATTACCTCAGAGTACATACCAAATTTGTAGCTCCCTCTCTCTCTCTCTCTCTCCCCTCCCTTTTCCTTTTTTCTTATTGGTAAATGGAAGATCATGACATAATTACTTACGAAGTTCTTGACCTTTTATATGACTTTAAAGGTAACTTGAATTCATTAATTAATCAACTATATTAATATCCTAATAATGTATCCCATCAGCATTGTTTCAGCAACGATAGAAACGTAAAATTTTGTTTATTTATTTTTAAGAGCATATTCAACTTCCTAAGATAAGCTTGTCCATTGTAATTATAGTTATAGAATGCTAGGTCTTGTTGGGCAGATTAATGAAGGTTGCATAAATGAGATTAAGTATAGATTAGCTTTCGAGTTACACATGCAATCTTGAGGTCCTCTTTCTAGAGAATGGCTGGTGATCACAGTCAATTTAGGCGACAGTGAATCCCTGATTTATTATACGGTGCATTAACAACTCCTTTAGATGTTGGATCCCTTTAGACAAGACCATTCTAGAGACATTGACTATTCTAGAACATTAAACAACCATTTTTTTTTTTTTTTGAAAAAAACATTAAACAACCATTGGACTCTAGAATTGGTCGCGTTACATTAATTAATAAGCCCAAAACATAAATAATAGAAGCTTCCTTTACATGAAGAGCAAAGGAAGACAAAAAAAGTGAGCAAATTTTAATAGCTCCCATTTGATGCAACTTACATTCATCAAATGAGCTAAAACACGAAGACTTGCTTAATTGGAAAGAATGAACAAAACTTGCCTATTGCTCTGTAAGAATGGTGTTACAATCATAAGTTAATCTCTATGTTTGTCACTTCAAAAGCCTTATCTTTTCTGATAATTTTTGTTCAATTCCTTGCTCGAACAAGGGGCGAAGTCATATGAGAGTGAGGAGACGACAACATTCGTGGAGTCATAATGAACTCATCCAATCTACGAGACGATAAGCTGATTTCAAGTTTGCTTCTCTTGCATTGTTTTCTCGTGGTTGGCTGGTCTGGTCGAGTTTTCTGAATCACGAATTTGTGGATCCTACTCAGTGCAATTTTCATGGTTTCATCGTCCATATTCGCAAAGCACACCCTGAACCAACCTGGCTCTGAGCAATGAAACGAGGCACCTGGTGAAACATTAAGCTTAACTTCGTCAATAATTAAATGCCATAACTCCTTTTCGGCTTCAAATGTTGGTTCTTTAAGGAGTCTCTTCAAGTCTATCCAGCAAAAGAGCCCTGCATTGGCTTTCAAACTTTTAATGCCTACTTTAGCAAGTCCCTGGGTGAATAAACTGTGCCTTTCTGCTAATCTTTTCGCACTCTCGTCTAAGAATTTTTCCACAAAAATATCGTCCGATAGCATTGAAGCAATCAGGTGTTGTGTCTGAGTTGAAACTAAACCGAAACTTGACATTTTCCGTGCACAATTCACTACTGCATCGTTGTACGAGTATATAATGCCTACTCGGAATCCGGGAAATCCAAGGTCCTTTGACAGGCTATAAACAATGTGAATAAGATCTCGATGTTTACGGTATGCACTTTCTTCTGCTATCTCAGCAATGCTGATAAAACCAGGCTCGTTAAACACCGTGGCTGAATATATCTCATCACAGATTAAGTGAATGTTTCTCTCACTGATGAAGCTCATTGCATCTCTTAATGTGGTTCTGTCCAATACAGTGCCTAATGGATTAGATGGATTGTTTAGAATCAAGCCCTTAACTTTGATATTAGCCTCTCGAGCTTTTTCATATGCATCTTCTAAGGCTTCTCTGGTGATTTTGAAATCGTTTGAGCTTTCACAAACAACTGGGAGAAGTTGTATACCCGTTCGCCATCTCAAATCTCGATCATATCTGCAGGAGAGGGAATAATCTTTTAGCAACAAGATTTGAGTAGTCGTAGAATGAATGAACTAACAATAAAAATTTCATATACTACTGATTAAATTTTTTAAATTAAGTGAATCAATATTAAAGTCTTGCAGCAGCTGTAGATTTATGAAAATATAAGAGCTTTTGATAAAAGAAATAAAATAAAATAAAATTGAACGCGGTATAGACGTGAAAGTGTGTCTAAGACTGATTGGTTGGCTTTCATGGCTGTCCAGAAAATTTGGTTTCTGTCATAAATATGGACCAGTTGAATTGAGATGATGTAATAGAAAGTACCTACTTTCTTTTTTCTATTATATATATAAGGAAATTACCATGCATGGCCCCGCACCAATAATTTATAAGTCCGACAATGAAAAAAATAAAATAATAAAAATAAGAAACCAATGAGATTCAAATGATGACACCTTATAAGTCAAATTTCTTGTATCTTAGCCCATATTTCTCTCCGTCTCCCCGAAATTCTTTTCTCTACATACTTGTTTTGAACCACGCATTTACACAATAAAATATTCTACATATAAATTCAAATTTTTTTTTTAACCACATATTCTGGAAAAAATCACTATTTAAAACAAATTTTTCCAAAAAAAATGGCCACCAAACTTAAGCTTAATTGAATTATGAACATAAAGTCCGAGTTTTTTTTCATTTGGTGAAGTCGTAGAGATGCTTCTGCCGTTCTGCGTCCCTTTCTAAGCTTTTTTTTTATATGTCGTGCTTTAAGTTAAAAATAAACGACAAGAAATAAATAAATAAGAAAGAGAAATTTTATTTACCCTGGATAATATGGTGTAGGCACCAAAAATGCTTCGCCGGGATCTGCCAAGCAAAAGGCCAAAGTCTCATGAGCACCGGTGGCGCCGCCGCTCATTACAATGCGGTCAGGGTTGAATCTGACTTTATTTCCTCGCACTTTCTCCATGAATCTTGCGACAGACTGCAAATTCATATTTTCAAATTGTAAGACCTTTTTTTTTTGTTGTTGAATTATACAGAAAGGTCAATAATTGATTACTTTAAAGAACAGTAGAGAATAACAGTCAGATTTTTTTGAAGTTCTTACATTTCTGAATTCTGGCAAGCCATGATAATCTTGATAAACTGCTATATCGTTGAAGCCATTTGATCCTTGAGGTGTACAAATGGAGGCTTTTGGGTTGTTCTCTACCCACTCTTGGATTAAATCAAAGCAAAGCTGCACAAATAAGAAGAGATATCAGTTTGGGTTCGACTATATAATACTGGACGGGATTAAATTCAATACTATATACTGGAAATGTTCGTACCTGATTTTCTGCGAGTCCCATTTGAATGACTCCATGAGAATTTTTTGTGGGATGATAAGGATCAATTTCATATGCCTTCCAACCATCAAAATAAGACGAGTTTTCTCCATGTCCATTGTTGGTTGCAATTTTGGACAAGAGCACCATATTTCCAGTCAAAAATTCTAGAGGGATGAAAATGTAAGAATAAAGAATGAAGAAATTGTTGGTTAGTGAATAAGAATTGTTGAAATGTCTGAAGAGGTTTTCGAGTACAACGTTGTTCAGTGTTTGATGTGTATTTATAGTAGTTGATGCATTTGAGTCTTCAAACTCTATAGAAGATTTCTGTTGAAGAAGGTGCTGTGAAAACTCCACACCGCCCCTTGCCCCCACCCTGAAACCTTGTTGGAATTGTGTTTGAACTTTTTAAATATTGGCACGCGCTTTGTACCAATTTTTGCTTTATCAGAAATTTCGTCTAGTTTATAATTTAAATTTGTCGCTCTGCAATTTAATGCATCCGTATAGTTCCCGACAATCGACTCCCACAAGATTATCCTATTTTTGGTTAATAAAAAATTCAAAATTCTAAATGAAATAAAACAAGATCCATATTTGTCACTCCCTATTCTACGGCAGGTCCGTGTGTTGTTACGAATCATTGTCAACATGAATAAGGTGGTCCCTTCGGATTAGCCACGGAATTTTGCAAGGTTCCCACAATAATTTAGTCACTGAATTTTTAAATAATTTTTTGAATCAATGACAAGTAATTAACAGAACCGAACCGAACCGACCCACGGACATCCCTAAATCATATGCTTTGTAAATCATTGAAGCATGTTTAGATCGTTTAGATTTTGCTTACAATTTTAACAAGAGATTTAGTCCGTTACTAATAAGTAAGGATTTCTTTTCTTAAAAATTAGTTTAAATCAATTACGGATTTAGTCAAAATTTTGGCTGTGGAGCTAATATCTAGGAAGATGATAAAAATTTATATAAAGTGGTGACAAATTTTAGCGAAAAGGGTTTTTCCTACACTAATTCTTTTATCGTAAAAATTTGAAGATTAATCTAATGAGGCGGATTTAATTACAAATTTTTTCTCAAAGATTTTTCTTTCTGAGATAAACAATACCCTTTCATTTAAATTATGAAACAGCAAAATTATTTCTAGATACGGGGAATTTTAAAAAAAAAAAAAAAAACCAGTCGTTCCAGTGATTTCTTGAATAAAGTGGAACTAGAAATGATTAAATGGTAAAATAAATAAATATATTTTTTGTAAAGTAATTTTTTTTGAGAATACTTGATCAAAAAATAGGAAAAAGATATACAAAAAATGTTAAAGTAATTTTTTTTCTTCAGAATATATAATTGAAAATGAGTGTCGAAAAAATCACACTTCAAAAAAAAAAAAAAATTATAAGACAAGGGCTAAAGCTCCAACTACTTGGAGCTAAGTCTAGAAATTTCAATATCAGTCCCCGACTTCAAATGAGTTTGGTATGCATTCAGCAATATCGAACCGGACAATTTTTATTCTTTAGTTATGTTAAGTAGTATGCAAGGTAGGATAGTGTATATATATATATATATATATATATATATGTATCTTCTATATATTAAAAGTGGTTATGTAACGGAATTTCTTGTTTTTAACGGAAAAACTAACGGAATTTGTTATTTTAACGGATTATGTAACGGAATTTCTTGCTTTAAACAGGCCGCTGCACCTTCTTTCGGTATTTTTATCATAACTTTGTATTCC